ACTAATTCTGTTGGTCAAATTTTACATTCATAAATGTAAATTTACTAACAAAATGCCATGTTTTCTTCATTTTATTAAGGACTATATGTAAAATTAATAACAGACTCTACCAACAAAAAAGGCCCTTAGGACAATTTCTATCTGTAAATCTTTGCAAATATTTCTTTAATTAACACCCCTGGTTGTTTATTCATATAAGTGTTGTGTTTTCTGTATACTCCATTCATTTGTTTGTTGTATACTTGTCATTTGCTTGAATAAATATTTAAAAAAATATAAAAATAAAAAAGTACAGACAACAATAACAGCAAACAACAACAATAAACTACAGTAAAAATGCAGGATGCCATAAATAGAGAGATAAAGTGTAATCAGAACTTGCACAGGTCATTTCTTTTAAACAATAAAAATAATAATAATGACAGAAACGCAAACATAACATTAAGTATCTTTGCCCAGTGCTCACAGTTTAATAGATGCTAAGCATGAAGTCTTTGGCGCCATCTAGTGGTAAATGTGTGGTATGACGGTTTTCTGTCAGCGCTTGTCTATTTGCTTGGAGCGCCCCCTGGTGGACAGAAGGGCGAAGGAGCAATCCATGACATGCTGATGAAATCACATGCAGTTTATAAATCAGTGATCAAACTGTATCATATGTACCAACAATAAATGATGCGTGGAGAAACTGTTTTTTTTTTTTTTTTTAAGACATGTAATCTGTAAGGACAAATCCTTACAAAAAGTAGCTTTGATAAAAAATAATTAGTATTTTTGTTTAGAAATCTGTATTTAATTCTGAACCTGCAATTTGTATTTTATCGAATTGTATCCTTGAGTGCCGTGAAAGGTGCCTTCAAGTGAAAATATTAATAATTATTATTAAAAGACAAATGTATGAGTTGTTTTATAATTTCTGACTTCATCTTATTAAATTCGAGCACTTTTCTGTGTAAAACTCTTTAGTTGTTTGCGTGTTCAAGCCTCTGAGTTCAGAGTGTTTTAGATTGTTATAATTAAATAGTTTACCTCTGAACAAAATGCAGTGTTTAACCAAAAAGCATGTCATCTTTAAACACCACTGGACAAGTTTTGATTTATTGTTATATTAAAGTTATAAAAGATTTTCTCTGAAGTGTTAAATTTTTGCAATGTCTTCCTGATTGCAGAAACAGACACTCAACAGCAGCAAGAGTTACCTGAAAATCTCTAAAATTATCCGAGTTCTTGAAGTTATCAAGTCTTCTCATACGCTGTTTGTTAAAAAATATGACCATATAAAAAATAATCTCAATTATTCTCTTTACAGTTGAGTTATGTCTTTGAAATTATTTGAAGATGGTTTCAAATTCATTTACAGACTCGTGTGCATATATAAGTTTTTTTTTTTTTGTTCTGAAAATCTTAGACTATTTTATGTCTCTTTTAAAACACGCTTTAAAAGAACTGATGGTTCTCAGTGTGGGAGGTCTGAATAAGCCGGTCATTTATTAGTGACAATAGTTTCTTTTAATAAACCAGAGTTCAGAGTTCTGAGACCAGATTTGAGGACTCAAAGTATAAAAGGTAAGATATTTATTTACAGTTATGGGTTGGGACTGGGGACACGAGGACCTGCTGGAGACAGAGGATGGAGAGGGTGGAGATCTCATAAATGACCAAGAGTGAATGAATCGTGACGGTGTTTGTCTTCAGGCGTGGAGCGGGGAGTTGGAGGATTCCAGGTCAGGGAAGGAGAAGGTGCTTTTCCAGTAGATCGCTGTTTGTTTGTTTTTTATGTTATATTTTCCTCCATTAATTTACCTTAAACTCTGATGGGCTGCTGTTGTTACTCTGTATTGTTTTACATTATTAGTGTTTAGCGTAGATCTTAGATCTTTTAGGGACCATTTGGCGTTCGTTTATTGTATATCTTAGATCCTTATTTAATGTTTCTTTTTATACTTGATATTTTGCTATTTCTGGGTGTAACTGGGACCCTGTGTACATAATTTTGTTACACCTCATGTACCACACTCGCTCATCCACCAACTGTTAATAACTATATAAGCAGTCAACGTTTAATTAAAATTGTCGGGGGGGTTTGGGTTCAAACCTGTAATTACTGTTAATTCGTTGGGTCGGGTGGGGTTTGGAAACGATGGCTACGGGCTGGGGCCAGGTCGGGTCAGATGTTTTGGGCCTGAATGCAACTCTAGAAGAAATGCTGAAGGGTCTGTATTTTTTTAAGCCAATACATGTTCCCTGCCTTTCTTCAAACATCAGGGTTATCTTTAGCTTCTTAACATTTCTCTGATTCATGCTCTGCTTATCATGAGCTTTGGTGGATGACCCATTTGTGGCAGGCTTGCTTTGGTGGCGTAGTATTTTCTAATAACAGGTTTGATGGTGTGTTGTAGGATTTTCTGATCTGAGTTTAATATAACCAACCTAACCTCTGTCAGCTTAGTCAGTGCCCTGTGTGGAGAGTT